TCCACCCTCCATCACTTTAGCAATTGGAATTGGCATTGATCCTTTCCAATTCCAAAACTGCATTCCTCTMAAAAATTTAAATTCCATTCTACTTTCTTCTGCAATAGCCCCCACCACTCCAAATTTAACTCGATATTTTTGTACCTTTTGAAATGTCTTAGTCTTACTGCATTAGGAAACCTCTTCAAATACTCCACCCTCCATCACTTTAGCAATTGGAATTGGCATTGATCCTTTCCAATTCCAAAACTGCATTCCTCTCAAAAATTTAAATTCCATTCTACTTTCTTCTGCAATAGCCCCCACCACTCCAAATGATTTTATTCTTTCTTCAACTCCTCTGCTTCTAAGTTAAAATCTCCTACCTCCTTAACCAAATTATCCTGTTTCCCTTCCCTCTCCTCCAACTCTTCACCCCCCCTCCCAAAGGGCAGCCCTAGGATCTTACTTACATCCACCTCTTTATTCACCACTTCCTCTAAATCAAACTCTTTCTGAACTTTTTGTGTTTCATCTATTATCATCTCCCCTGTCTTCTTCCCCTTCCCCCCAAAGATTCCTCATCCCCACCAATGTCAATGGGTTTAGTTCTGTACTTCTTTCTCCTGTTATAAACATTTGCCTTTCCAATGTCATCTCTGCTCAGCTCTTTCTCCTTAACTCTCCTCTGTCACTGTTGGGGTCACTTCCCACCTCTCTCCTACCCTCTCTTGGTCTTCTAGATTGTTATTTTTCACTTCAATTTCCCTGCCCTACCCTTCCTCCTTACAACCTCCTCTCAGGCTCAACCTCCTGATCCACCTCTAAAGCATCTCCGCTGGTTTCCTGCAAACTATCATGGATTACTCCTACTTCAATCTCTATTTCCACTAAACTTACCCCTTCCCCTCCCGCTGAAGCCTCCTCTCCCTCCTCCTGCCCCCTTCTCTTCGTCTCTTCGATTCACAATTTTATCAGCACCCACCTTGTCTTCACCATTTTCATCATTCTGCTAACTCAGAGTTATTGTATCTTCGGCAACTTTATCCGCACAGCTTGGTCTGTCTCCACCTCTATCAAAACTTTGAATTGCCGCATTTTTCTTGATGCTCAAGTCTGAGAGGCTAATGCTTCCATCTGCAACATTTTTCTTACACAAGCTGGCCTTTTCTCCATCTTCAAATCATACTTTTCCTTCTCCTTTTTGCCCCTGCCATCACGGATGTATCTTTTAATACACCACAAATATTCCTCTTCTTATTTAAAACCCTTGTTTCATTCCTCATCTTATTTAAAAACATTCAGCCCATTCGTTTTAACTTGACCTTTTATACCTTGACCCTTTATAACCTTATTTATTTGATCATCCCTACATCCCCCACGTGCCCACCAACTGCTCAGTCCAATGTCATTTGTTGGTCTATGGACCAGCTCCCCCTTACCAAATTTAAAACTTGTCCCCATTTTTATCCCCTTTACCCTCTTCCAAAATTACCTCCTTGCCCTTCCTTTTCAACACATCATCTTCCTTCCCATTCTGCCCCTTCCCCACGATGCTTCATCTCCCTTTCCTCTAGACCTTTCATCTTCTCTATCACCTCACTCCCACCATCACTGCCCTGAAACTCCTGCATCGTCATTGATCTAATGCCAATGGTTGGATCTTTACCTTCTATTACCAGCCTGATTTCAAAGACATTGACCAGCAAAAAACAGTTCCGGCTTCAATGGTATTGGTATCACCTGCACATCCTGTCTCTACCAGTTTCCATGTGACTAGAGATCACCCCACCTATTGTGAAAATCATATTTCCTAAATTTTCTACAAGCATCCGCAATTGTCTTGAAGGTCTGTACACAACAGGCATGAAAAGGAATCCTGTAAAAATTGATCCATAGAAAACTTTTGCCCGAAGTATTCCTCACTTGACCGACCAGGGATACCATCATCCTGATTCTCTCTTTTTTTTTTTATTAGCAATGCAGAAAATTTTATTAAATACTTGAGAAAAGTGAAAAAAGAGTAATGACAAGATGTTGTTAGATCTGAAATCCCTTTGCATCAATGGAACCCCATCATCCTATTACAATTGAACCCAATACAAATGTTGTCCATGGACTCCTTGCTTAGTTAAGCCATCCGCCAAATCATTAGCGGATGTTCTTGCCCATCTTGCTTGAGTGTTCATATTCTTAGTTCTGGTATCTGTATCTTCCTATCACTTCTCCCTTCAAAACATCTTCTGCATCTTCTTTTCTTTAAACATAAAACAAATGTAAACCAAATTAAGGTCTTCACACCCTCTGCAATCCATTATCTCTCCATCATTCCAAAGCCCAATCACCAACATCTTTCTCATTTGGGTCTGATTGAATCTTCCCACTAAACATGCCTCTAACAACTCTAATCTTCCTTCAATATTAACAACATCTATCATGACCATGCTTGAAATCACCATCTTCCACCTTCAGATTACATGGAGAGTTGGTCTTTTCTCCTTTGTCACACTTTGAGGTAATGCTGACCATATTGTGGTGTATCATGTTTGTTTTAATAAAATGAGTCAACAAATTAAAATATGTTGAGCATGTTGTGAAGTGCCCACCTAGCATCTTTAGACACTGAGGTGCCTGTCTTGTCACCTAGACATGTGCCTAATAGGCTGAGTGAGCATCTTTCTTAAAATACTTAAGGTAATGCAATCAGGAGATCCCAAATGTCACCTAACAGGAAAGAGAATAGTAAATCAAGAAGAAAATAGGAAGAAGAAATAGAGAAAACACCAAGATATAATGTTGTTTGGCTCGGTAGCCTACATCCACGGGATTTTACTAGAGGTCAAGATTGTGAAGAACAAGGAAGAAGGGGGAGAAATACAAATGGGGGTGGAAAGATAGAACATGAAGAAGTGATACTTGATACTAATGTTATATGCATTGGAACGTTAGAAACCTAAATTTGGGGAGGTGAAGAATTATTGCTAGTGTGAACAAAGGGACTGTGCATAGAGTAAAGTTCTATATTATTATTGTAGGAAAGCAGTATAGTATCATACGCTTATTTATGTTTCTTTTTTCTTTATGGCCCAAAGGGGCAAAACAATAATTGTGCATGTAAACTCTTCTGATAGTATTTTAGACCCTTTGGGGATCGGGGTCGACAGATTTTGTTATTTTTATTCTCTTCTCTTTCTCTTTACATTAGCTGGTTGAAACCCTAGAATACTCCTATCTCTCTAGGTTATGATGGTAACAAGGCAAGGTTGAAGATGGATAGTAAGGAATTTCAATCTCTTTGTGTTTGGATTCAAGGACTGTTGAATATCACATTTCCCTCTCAAGAAAGGAATTCACGTTGGGTTCAGACAAAGAGGCTTTGGAAGGGGATTGAACCTTGCTTTTTCAATTTGTTTTGGTAGAAGATTTTTTTAAATAAATAAAAAATAAAATATATTAAGTTGTAGAGAGAGAAAGAGAATACAATACAGGTGATAAGGAAACACCCAAAAAGTAGAACCAAAGCCCCAACCCAAACCCTCCTTTATTCTTTGGACTGACACTCCCCATAGCCAAAGAAACATAAACAAAAAATCCCAAGCTGAGAAAAACCCACAAACACCCAGAAAATTACTCACCCACCATTCATGAACAACTAGCTCCCTGGCTACCCACCCTTCCAGCCTTAACCCCTGAAAACAAAACCCTATACCCAAAGACATAGACTCCCAAAAAATCCCATAGCCAAAGAAACATAAACAAAAAATCCCAAGCTGAGAAAAACCCACAAACACCCAGAAAATTACTCACCCACCATTCATGAACAACTAGCTCCCTGGCTACCCACCCTTCCAACCTTAACCCCTGAAAACAAGACCCTATACCCAAAGACATAGACTCCCAAAAAATAAAATAAAACAAAACAAAAAAACTACTCAGCCTTTGTGTCCCCTTTGTGTCTGACTGTTCATCAACTCTAGTGACCATAGTCAAATCCTCTCTTTTTCTCTTGTTCACTCTTTTTGTTTTCTTTCCCTTCTTATTCAGCCTGATCCCAAATACCCCCCCCCCCCCAATCTAGAAAAACCTTTCGAGACTTGCACGGTCTGACTGTTTTTCTGGCTTCTAAACCTTCTTACTGCATTGGATCTTATAGGCCCGTGTCGATATTTAGAACCTTGCCTAGCATCAACCCCATCCATTTTCAGATTGAGTTTCTCCTTGCCCTTCAAAGCCCCACACAATTTTTCTTCCAACTCTTTAAACTTTTCCATGCAAATTCTCCCCTCCAATTAAAAAAAAAAGTATTTCACTCACCTCTGCCTCTGTATTCACCACCATCTCCAAATCTATTGAGCTTCCAACTCCATGTGTTTCATCAATAATGATTTCATCCTTCTCAAATTCATCCCTAAATTTTTTTCTTCAATTTTTGGACAGCATCTGGCCCGTCAGTCTAACCATACAAGGAGTCCAAACTTTCTGAAATTCAAGGGAACAGACTGAACATTTTCTCAAAAATAAAAGGGGGACAGATTGAATAGTCCACCTTTGATCTTGTCCATTTTTCACTCTTTGAAACTGAGCTCCTAAGAGTCTAAATCACCCATATATGGGGTTTGATTCCATGCTGGCTGATCTGAAATAGATCTCTTATGTAGGGAATACTACCTCAGTAACAACACATTATTTGGAGGCTAGGAAGTCTTCTTTTTTCTGAAAATATACAGTTTTGTGCTATCAGCATACACAATGTGTGATAAAATTTCTCTGATGTTGGGGTCAATCATAGAGGTACATGTTACTATTAAACCAGTACCTTTAATTTCTCAATATCAACAACAAACATCCTTCAGTTGTCTAACTGAATGGTATGCTGGAAAAATGCCTACTTTAGCTCATACTGTAAAAGTTTGTATAGCCAACATAAATGCATATTTTAGAACACTAGAAATTATAGGAGTGAGATAACAGCATTTTAAAGTCCAATAAATAGGACTGGAATCACTGGATTGGAGAATTACCATGTGAATGACAAAATGCTCATCCAGACCTTCGCGTGGAAGACACCTCTGAAATGAAACATACTACATGTTTAGCATTATGTAGAAACCAGTCCAATAAAATGTATTTCTATTTTCTACAGTTCTCAAAAATTCAATATATTCATGTTGTATGTATACAATTTCAAAATCCAAGATTGGTAGAAGGCATCAGACTCTACAAGACAGAAAATTAGGATCTGGAGACTTGGCAGATAAACTTGAATTTTCATGCCTTAGCTTTTAATGGTATATTTTGTCTTATAGAAATAATTGAATAAACTTTTGGTACAACAATGTAAATGTTGAAGGCTTGAATTATAAAAACAACACTACACAATTGATTATAACAATGTTTTGAAAATGGAACCAGCTCATCCAGTTAAACTAGGTTCATCCGGAACTAGATCCCTTTCCAGATAATTGAAAACCAGGAAATTGAACCACCAAGTTGAAATGGAAGGCCAGAACCAGGGCCCTGGTTTGTGAGGTCTGGTTTTCAAAATATTGGCTGTACTAAATAATCAAGTAATACAAAATCACAATTCATGAAAGAACTTTTGCAATTATTTTGTAAAGGCTACCCACCAAGTTAATTGGCCTACTATTTTGTAAAGTTCTTTCAGGAAGGTTAAAGAAGGTTTTACCCGCAGTTATCTCACAAAACCAAGGTGCCTTTGTGGAAGGGAGAAAAATTGTGGACCAGATTCAAGTGGCTAATGAATGTGTAGCAGAGAATAAGAAAATAAAAGGGAAAAGGGTTTATTTGCAAGTTGGACTTAGAGAAGGCTTATGACTTGGTGGATTGGTCCTTCCTTCTAGAGATTAAGGAGAGAGTTGGTTTCAGGGAAAAATGGAGATTTTGGATTAAGGGTTGTTTAAGCTCAGTGTAGTATTCTATTTTGATCAATGGATCTTCTAGAGACTTCATCCCAGCCAAAAGAGGTTTGGGACAAGGTGACCCCTTATACCCTTTCCTCTTTCCTTGAATGCTGAAGTCCTAAGTAGAATGATCATAAAAGCGGACTTGGATAACCTAATCAGAGGCTGGAGAGTGGGAAGGGCTGAGGTGGTAGTTAACCATTTGCAATTTGCAGATGATATTATCTTGTTTTGTGATGATTTCAGCCTTGAATCCCTCGGAAGCCTAAAGACCCTTGTCATCTCTTTTGAGAATCTCTCCAAGTTAAGGATCAACCTGGGGAAGAGTTGTTTGGTGGGACTGAATATGCAAGAGGAAACCCTTAGAATAGCAGAGTTCTTAGGGTGTGGAGTACCTTGGTTTACCTTTGGGAGGAAATCCTAGATCTCAAAGCTTTTGGAAGCCTGTGCTAGAGAGGTTTACTAAAAAATTGGCTCTTTGGAAAAAGAAGCTACGTTTCTTTGGGTGGAAGGATAACCCTGATCAAAGCCACCTTAGCTTATCTTCCCATTTACTTTTTGTCCACTTTCCGCATCCCTACGAAAATAGCTAGGGAACTAGAAAAGTTGATGGGGTGTGGGAAGCAGGGGAGGGAAAGAAAGACCACTTGATGAAATGGGAACAGGTTAGTAAACCCAAAGAAAAGGGTGGGTTAGGAATAAGAAATTTCACCCAAAAGAATATAGCCCTCTTAGCGAAATGGCTGCGGAGGTTCCCTTTGGAAAGTGGTAGGCTTTGGCACAAGGTGATTGCAAGCATACATGGTCGGATGCACAATGGCTGGGATGCAAAGGTAGCTTCCAATGCAACTTCTTTTTCTCCCTGAAAAGCAATTTTTGAGATTTATCCTTCCTTTGTGAATCTCATCCAATATGATGTGGGAAACGGGTTGAGAGTCTTGTTTTGGGGGAGGACCTTTGGATATGTATGTAACCACTAAAGGTCCAATTTCCTGTGCTTTAAGCACTACCGAGTTACAAATTTGAACCCATCTCTAAGGTTGTGAACTTTCTACATTAGGCATAAATTGGGATTTTGGTTTTAGAAGGGGCATGAGGGAAATAGAATGTGAATCTCTCATTCCCCTTTTGGCCAATATTGACTCTACCTTCTTGGATCAAAATGTAGAGGACAACAAGGTTTCATCTATCACTTCAGATGGTACTTTCACTTGTGCTTCTTTTTTCAACTTCTTAGTTCAGCCTACAACATGGGGGTAAATTTCCCGTTGAAAGAAATTTGGAGTAAGTCAATCTCTCCTAAAATCCAGGCACTTTGTTGGGAAGTTTTCCTTGGGAATATTAACACTTGTGATATGCTGCAAAAAAGAAGGCCAAACAAATGTCTTTCTCCTCACATGTGCTTTCTATGTAAGAGCAATGGTGAAACCATTTCCCATATATTTTTATCCTGTCCTTTTGTACTTTATATTTGGGAGCAGTTTTTGTTTTCTCTTTGGGTGCAGATGGGCTCCTCCTTAGGATGTGGTAGGTCTCTTTGATCCAAATTTCTTGAGACAACCGAAAAAAAGGGGAAGAATTTTGTGGAAAGTAGTGAGAGCCGCCGTGTTATGGATTGTATGGGAAGAAAGGAACAAGAGGATCTTTAATGAAAGTATTTGCTGATCTCCCCACCCATTGTACAGTGACCAACATATTCCTTGTCAACCAACTGAATTTCTTCATTTCATTCTTGTAGTGCCACATAGCCTCTTCTGGATTTTTCAACCAACCCACCACCACTTTGGAATTTCCTTCGATTATTAGGTGTTGTACCCCCAACTGGTTTGCAAATTGCACCCCTTGTACAGCAACTAATAGCTCTGCCCTGATAGAGTCCCCAATTCCTAAGGGACCTGAGTAGAGCAACAAAATCTCTCCCTTCTCATTTCTCAAAGCACCCCCCATTCCGAATAATCATGGACTACCCATGCTACTTCCATCAAAGTTCAACTTCAGTGAACCTTCAGATGGAGGAGACCAGCTTGTAATTGATTTGTCCTTTAGGGGTGAACACCTCGCTACTGCTAACCAATTTCTCCAAAGGTCATTAAAGGAGAATTGATGAAAGATTTCCAAAGTCTTCAGCCAAGGTATTGCCTTAGTCAGCACACAATCTTTCAAATCCTGACTGCTCCTTTCCTTTTCTCGAAAATTTTTAGCATTCCTTTCTTCCCAAAGAGTCCAAATCAAGGCAGCGCGAGCACATCTCCACATAATTCTCCCTATTTTTGTAGTCCAATAAAAGGTAGAATGGTTGAAGAGCATGCGAACTTCTACAGGTAGACTCCAACTACTCCCAAACAACGAAAGTAGCCAAGCCCAAATGTCTGCAGAAAAGGGACGAGATATTAATAGGTGATAACAATCCCACCGTGAGCTCTACAGAGGATACACCAATTAGGAGAAATATAGAGGAAAGGTCTCCTCTTTTGTAGGTTATCTAGAGTGTTTACTTTCCCATGGAATACTTCCCAACAAAACGCCATAATCTTTAGGGGAACTGGCCTGCACCAAATTTCTTTTGACGGAAAGGGTTGTTGAGTACAAAGTTGAGAGATGGACTTGAAGAAAGAAGCACAAGTCCACACCCTCTTATCTGGCTTGAAGGGATCCAAACAAACCTGATTAAGACAACAAAGCAAGACAGAAAGAGATTCAATTTCATCATCCCTTAGTCCTCTACGAAACCCAAAATCCCAAGTAGGATCTAAGGGTGTTCCTAAAGGTGAGACAAATTTTGAGACTACCTCTTTTTTATACAAAGAAACAGAAAATAGCAAAGGAAACAAGTCCTTTAAAGGTGTGTCTCCTACCCAAATATCCTCCCAAAAACGAACAGCGTTGACAGAACAAACTTCATACCTGATAAAATTGAGGAATTAAGGAAGGGTGTTGTGAATGAACTTCCAAGGTGCTGCTAGGTTATCCTGCCTTGATACACCAGCATCCCATCCATTCTCTGACCTCCCATGAATGCTTCCCACCACCTCATGCCATAGCCTCTCTCTTTCCAATGAACATCACCACAACCATTTCCCTAACAGAGCTTGATTTTTTTCCAGTCACCCTCCCAAGTCCCAAACCCCCCTCTTCTTTACTTCTGCACACAATTTCCCAATTAACCAAATGATCCTTTTTTTCTTGTYMYGGCTCCCATAGGAAATCTCTCATCAACTTCTCCAGTTTCCTAGCTTCCCTAACTGGTATCCTAAAGACAGACAAAAAATAGGTAGGTAAGTTAGCCAAGGTNAATAGGTAGGTAAGTTAGCCAAGGTAGCTCTTATTAAGGTAATTCTCCTTCCTAAAGAGATATAATTCCTCTTCCATGAGGCTAATCTCTTCTCAAACTTTTCTATCATCGGGGTCCAAAATCTACTCTCCCTAGGATTTGCCCCTAAAGGAAGCCCTAAGTGCAGAGATGGAACACTCAAGACACTCCACAATAGCCTCGACCTCCCCTACCTCCAAATTTATACCCGCTAGGCAACTCTTTTCCAAATTTATTGTCAGATTAGAAATACTTTTAAATCCTTTGATTAGCTCCTTTAGGTCTGCTACCTTTTCACTAAAACCTCCTTCACAAAAGATCATTAGGTCATCTGCAAACTGAAGATGGGTAACAGGGACTTGGTATCTCCCTATTCTCCAACCCCTAATGGCATCTTCACTGTCAGCCTTAGTAATGATCCTACTAATCACATCAGCTACTAAGGTAAAAAGGAAGGGTGAGAGTGGATCCCCTTGCCTGACACCCCTGCAAACTGGAAAAAAGTCCCTCGCCATACCATTTACTAGGGTGGACTAGGTATAGGGAACCTGTTAAAGAAAAACAAGGCCCTTCTTGGGAAATGGCTGTGGAGATTCCCTTGTGAAGAAGAAAGATTGTGGCACAGGGTCATTAAAAGCTCACATGTTGAAGCAAATAACGGCTAGGATGCAAAACTAGCCCCCAATGCAGCTCCATCTTCTCCTTGGAAGGCAATTTTTTAGGTATATTCAACTTTTCTTCAATTTATCAAGTTTGATGTCGGTTGTGGTAACAAAGTCTTATTCTAGGAAGACCTTTGGGTTGGGGAAGTGCCTCTTATGTTCAAATTCCCAGACCT